TTCCGAAAATTGTCGATCCCCCCGCCACCCTCAAAAAATATTATTACCCCCGCGTAGGCATATAATCATAAACACCCTACATACAATACAGTGAGTAGTATCTAGTGACTCTAAAGTAGTATTTTTTACATAAAAGACCCATTGGCATTGTACCGTTTAGCCATGTTACTTAGGGGGAAAACGTTTAACGTGCTACATGTGTAGTAGAGTTAACTACTCGATGTTCACAAACTGGGAGAGCAAATCGTTAACAAGGTTTTCCCACTCAAACTAACGGTCAGGGTCTCACAAGCTGTGAGAGCTGACCGTAAACAAGGTTTTCCCGCGCGACCAAACGGTCAAGGTCAGATAGGCTGAATTGGGATCCAAAAGCAGATTGGGAACGACCAATCACAGGGTTCCACAAGTGGGCCGGGGATTGGACAACCCAGCCACGAACAAGTATAAAGCCAGAGCGCTCAGAGCTCTGAGGGAGTTCGACTACACGAAGACCCAAGACGGCGGAAGAAGCCTAGGACCCTGGACCAAGCCCTCCAGCCCTTATAAGGGCTAGGGTTCAGTGTAACCAGTGGTCGGGGAGACATCCCATAGGTCCAGTCAGAGGACATTGAAAGAGCGGGATATTAAGTTGCCTGTAGGGTGCGGAGGCTTGTACGTTCTGAGTGTAACGGGTGAGGGGACCGTATACCCCTCAGTGCATAGGGACTGTGTTCATAAGACGAATAAAAGTGCGTGCTACAAAAGACGTTGAAGAGTCCGTCTGTACAACACTACACATGTGTAGTGCTCGAACCAACACGACAGCTTCTTGTCTTTCCTCTTTACTTTATTTCACGTATTTCGATCAACACTCCTCCATCCAACATCGCTCAACGTTCCTCCCGCTAACACCGATCCACAGTTCTCCTCCACGCTCTCCGCTCGCCCGCCGCGTTCCGCCGGCCTCACTCGCTCCCCATCTCTCCTCCGTCGACTCTCCTCTCCACTCTCTCCGCCACAGTTCGGCTGCTCTTTATCAGCTCCGCCGTCCCACTCTGTCGTAACTACACTCCAGCCGCTTCCTACTGGCTTCATCGTCTCACTGTTACTCTACACTTCTCCACTGCTACCCTACACTTCTCCACTGCTACCCTACACATCTCCACTGCTACCCTACGCTTCTCCACTGCTACCCTATACTGTTATTAGCTCTGCTGCTCCGACTCTTCCATCATCTGTCTCCACCCAGACGCGAACTCCCGTCTCCTCCAAAAACCCCTGTCTTTATCCCATTGCCAATTAATCCCCAATTAATCAGGGGCATCCCCCACGACGCCACTCACCCCCAGCCCCCGCTGCCACTTGGCATGTTTTTCCAGACAATGCGGCGCCACTCCGCGACAACAACACCCTCTCGGCCAATCAGCGCCTTGCGTCCTTAATTACTCCCTGCCACCTGCTACCATCTTCAGACAGCGCGGCCCCACATCCCGACAACAACGACCAGCCAATCAGCGCCCCGTGTCCTTATTTGCTCCCACTGTACGCCGCGTGCGCGCACACCGACCTCCGCGCGTGACGCGTACTTTCAGGCACTACACATGCATGAGTGTGCAGAAACACGTATGCCAATCGGCGTTCACCATTAAATGGAAGCAATATCACCATCGCGCTTGGTGATATAACGATTGCGCTTGGTTATATCACCATATTTATCAATTTTCTCCACGCCGTTAACCCGTCATGAAATTATGAATCCAGTCTTATCTATCGCACAGCAGTGCGACCCTTTGTGTTAGAGAACAGTCCACCAAGTGGATATCACAGAGCCACCTCTGAGAAACCTTCAAAGTGGAGACCTCTGGTCACAGCGGAGGGCAGCAGTTTTCCCACCCACTCTGAATATGAGAGTGATGTTCGTTGCACAAGAGCCAACTGGATTTTTTTATTATGAGAGATAGAATTTAGTCACGTTAAGTGCCGAAATTCAATGTGATGGGTGGTTTTGTGCAGTCATTGGTGACTGCACATAGCTGTCTAGATTTATATTTATTTTTACAAACTCTCCTGGTATATGACAGCATGAAATTGCATTACAAAAATTACAATCATACAGATGGTTAACATTATTTCATCAATTAAATTAACATGATAGCATCAGTAAGTATTATATACTGTCCTCACGAATGCATTATACTGTACTCCTCTTACAAAGCAGCCGTGGGAGATGAGGCTGGAGGAGCTGCTGCGATCCCCATCTGAATCTTAGCGATGCCCTCAGTCAACATTTCTGTGGTGAGGATTCTTTTGGGTGGAGCCTGAGACTATTGTGGTCTCATGAGTACTCACCAGGCTAAACGTACTATAATACCATGGGGGGGAGTGGATAAAAAGAAAATCGTGACCACGAATCGTGATAATCGAATCACGGGGGTGGGATTTGATTGGCTCAGAGCGTACGTCGCTCTCATTGGCTGAGCGAAAGTGGGGGTGGGTACATTTCCTCATTCAACGCTGCCTGGTATTCTAACTCGAATAAACTTTGTAGATTTGTTGATTTCATTTATTTTTGTTAAAATGTTCTCCAGTACAAAGAGCGCTATAACTAATCAGCGTTCTATGGGGGTCGCGCTCAGCCTGGTTTGCCGGAATATCTATCCCTAAACCAGCTCAAGCCTCCCATGAATCACGCGACTTCTGTGTGGCCATACCACTCTGAATCCTTCCCCTCTCATCTGTAGATCCTCTCAACCTGAACCAGCTCAAGCCTCTCCCCATAACCATCAGAAAACAATTGAATTTGGCCATGCAATGTCGTGCACAACCTATGAGGCAAATAGCCTCACGTTGCACACAGATCCTGTACAGAGTTGTCTCGATGCAGCCATACATTTACAAACGCTATTGGTTTATAACAATATCAAATGGAACCCCACAAAAAACTAGCATCGTGAAAAATAAAATCTTGTTTGCTTTTTACGAGTCAGACTCAACTCTGAGGGTTCATTTATATGCTGAGTTTTGAGTGATACACTCATGTTATCACAGCATAGAGCAGTGCTTCTTAACCTTTTTAGGCTACTGTTCCCCTTGGTGAATTTAGTTTTAACCGAGGACTCGCTTGCCTGACCCAACATTGTTTTGAGAAATAAATGTATGAATAACGAACATCAATATTTTAAGGAATTATCCATTTTGAGAGGTATCCTAAATGGCTAGTATACAAATATGAATGAACACAGAGGCTCAGCACACAGGGAAGGGCTCTCTTTATAGACACGTCAGTGTGGGGCCCGACATCTTCCCCACCGCCCTCGCTAGGCTGGTGGGGAGCGACGTCCGCCCATTTCGCTCCCTCCTCCACCGCGTCGGTCGGCTCCTGTCGGGCCCCCACCGACCGAGTGATCGGGCCCCCGCGCTAGCGCCCTCTCTGAGGGACATACTCGTACTGCTGACTCACGGCCGCACGGAGTTAATCCACACACCCGTGCACACCGCAGCTATCGCTAACACAGCGGCACGCTCGTGCTTAAACCTGCAAGCGATTACCTCAACGCACGCCCATGCTGCGGCTCCGTGTTCACTCTCGCCGCGCGTTCACTCATGCAGACGCTCCACACAGGAATCACAGACACCACGCCTATGCTCTGTACTAACTTTTATTGCGAGAAGAGCCTAGCCCACTGCTGCCCAAGTCCCCAGATACTCAGACGCCCTATCACGTACCTCGTGGCGACACTCACTGGCGTCGCACGGATGCTGCGAGCGGCTTGAGAAGGCAGAATGGCAGGGAGTGGGTCTTGGCGGCCAAGAGGTTAAAGTCAAGATGCCCCTTGGAATGGTCCCAGTTTCCTCTTTTTATCCCCCTAACTTCAAATGCCCAGGGTCACGTATCGTGCGGCCAATCGTGTGCCTACCTGTGATTATCGCCCATTTTTTTTCTCTGACATGGAGCGCTGCGGTGGTGCTTCTGCAACCCATTGTCTGTCCATCCGTGCTCATTAATTTGATACTCACTCTGGTTAATCTGGAAGGATGCCCGGCTGGCGAATACACACCCTGCGAGTGTGTATTCGGTATGGTGGTTGGGGGGGGTCGTGGCTCTGCAATCCCCTGACCTCATGGTCTGCTCTTCTAGCTTAATATACCACCCCAGCCCCCCCCCCCCCCCCCCGATATCGTGTATGACTCAATGCGGCTGGCCCGGTGAACCTTTTGGTGCCCATACAATTTTAAGCCAACTCAGGGGCACCGCAATGTGACCTGTCCTGTGAGGGTCGGCTAATCTCCTGGCACCGGGAGACCGTGGGACTTTCCTCCTAGGGACCCTTCGGATTAAAACCTATTGTGCCAGGCAATCCCCCGCGAGGACTCTATGTGTGTGCGCTGTGTGTGTGTACTCAGGGTGGGGGCCAGGGGGGAGTTGCGGCGCTTACAGAGTTGCTTCTAGGCCGTGGCACCACATCAGCTCCCAGTATCGGCCGCCATCATGTCCTTCTCCCCCCTCCTCTCAACTAATCCCTGCGTGTCTCCTATCCTCCAGAGCTGGATGAGACAGCTTTGCTATTTTATGCTATTTTCTCAGGGTACTTACACCTGCAAGTAAATAAAACAAAATTCAACGTACTGTCTGCATGTTTAGTGTCAGTTATTTGGAGACAATGTTTGTAGGAGGCACCTTCTTTATTTAGTAACATTCATGGTCTCATCTACACACTCTCTACAGTCGCTTAACCTAGCCTATACACAATGCTAGCAGTCTAACACTGACGGTGCTGACTGATACAACCAAGCACACATTTTTGGAAGCACAATATCTAGCGAAGACGGCAGCGACGACGTCGACGAGACGACAGCAACGTCGAGATGAGTCATATCCCAGAACCGGCAGCCTCGAGCTCCCGCTCTCGGCTCCTTTTATCCTACCAGCACGGCCTGGCCCCGCCCTGGCCGCGCCTCCCTTCTCGAACCCACAAGCAGGTTACAGGGTTTTCCAGATGGGGTCCTCTGTGACCCTTGCCCTAGTTCCTCTGCTCTGCCAACACACCCGTGCACATGCTCACTGGCGTGTGCACTGTCTGTCCACCACAGTTGCCGCCGTTGTCCACCAGCCGGTGCTATTACACTACACATGCATGGAGTAATTTGTTCGTGCTCTGCTGGTTACTCTTGACAACCATATTGTTTGCAATTAATGAGTTTAGAAAGGTCTACTATATCGTTGTCGGTTACCATATGGATTTAAATGTTATCATAGTTATTTTATTTTCGCAGATTCATACGTGATTATTCACCAATGACTGTCATGTGTGATGTAATTTCACACATTTATAAATGACCTCACGTACCCCCTGGGACATTGCCACGTACCCCTGCCATAGAGGATGGTGCAGTTGAGCTGTACTGCGCTCCAACATCTACACTTCTCGCCTTCCCCATCCCGCACTGACAAGCGTGGTGAAGTATAGTAAAAAAAATAGCTTTCTCAAGTGTTAGCGGGTTGTAACCGTGTGGTGTGGAGTCACAGAACTAAATTCTCTCCACCCGCTATGCCCACTCTCGTTGTTGACGATGCCAGGCTCTGAGGTGGCAGCCTTCAAGAGAGCTTCCACATGGCTCATCAGCGATTCTCTTCTGGGAATGGTCTCGACTCTCGGGCCTTGTTTACAATGCAGGGAATCCCCAGTGGCGGGAAGGCAGAATATCGTTTTGTTTTCTGAATATGTATTTATACTGCAGGAGGGATCCGATGAGCTATAAAGCAATTTTTCAAAGATGTCCAGTAGTGATGGACCAGCGAGGGAGTGGATGGGTTTGGCGCTGGGCAAGGAGGATGAGAATTCCTCGACCAGCTGCTGAGGGGTGATGTCACCGTGCCGGGAACGTGCGTGGTGACGTCACGGCGCACAAAGCGTGCGTGGTGACATCACCACGCCGATAATACAGCAGCAGATAATTTGAAGAAGTTTAACACTTAGGCTTTCGCGACCCAATATTATTCATAATAAAGGTTTTTTTAATTAGATGAAGTCGAAAATAGTTAGATTGTTATTGTTAGTGCCTTTTTTTGTGGTGACATTTCTTTATTTGCTTATTCATTTTTATATTGAATTTGTTTGGTAGTTGCTGAATGTAGTATTTGGTCGTCATATTTAATTAATGCACAGCGTTGTGGGAAGAAATGAGCATGAATAACGCTACATAAAACGAAATTATAATTTGTGTTTCATATTTTTATTTGAGTATTAACGATACAAGCATTACAATGCTATTTTAGTATGTTTACATTTATTTTTATTAAAATTTATATTTTGATTGTATTTCTCCCACAATGCGTTACATCACCGCTGTATAAGCACATCCCAGTTCACCATTGATAATATTATACTTACACCCCTACACTCTAATCACACTCTTCTGGCAGGGTGAATACATCTATTTTAGCGCCACACACAGGGTGGTTGTTATTTTATCACCCCTTAGGACAGGGGTCAGCAACCTGCGACTCCGGAGCCGCATGCGGCTTTTCAAGGACTGCTCCGTGACGTTATTTATTAAGGACCACCGTCTCGTATTTATCACGTGCATTGTGGCTCCTGAAATAGTGATGGGTTTTTTGACCGAATTCGTAAATAAAATGGCTTTCTTGTTAGTTTGGTTGCCAATTCCTTCTCCAGAAGGTTGCGAGGAATTTACACTCACCCACATTCTAATGCAGACCCTAGGCACTCCTAACCACTGACGCCCATCTACCAGTCAAGGGCGTGGCACTGCGTGTAACGGTGATGACGGTGGCGAGCGTCGTGTGTCGTGGTGTCTGCTCTCTACGGCGTTCATGTTAACGACTCAGATCCACAATCGTCACTGTGCTACCAACCCCCACCCACAGTCCAGGCTGTAGGGGCTGAGTGAAGGTTTGGCGAACTGAGTGTAACAGCGTCATGGAGTCGGCGTCGTAAAACGACAGGAGGCCCGCGTCCCAGTCCAGATGAACCCCGACTCTCCGTGGAGGCTCTGGCACCGACAGTGAGATCTTCACCCCGCCATGCCACACGAAGAAGCTGTTGTTACGTTTCTGTAGACTCCAGGAGTTGTCACTCCCTCCCAGGCTGCACTCAGCACCACCCTCTCTCCGTGGGATCGTCCCGTATGCGACTCCAATCCGACACCATGACTCCATGCTCCCTACGTCCACCTCCCAATAGTGCTGACCCGATGAGAAGATCTCAAAGCACAGGGCTTGTGGATACCAATCAAACCGGTGTGGGTGGTGGGGGCGACCCTGGGAGATGTCGTTCCACGTCACCGTTCTGAGATCCGAGGAAATCTGAAGTTTGTCGTGGGCTGAGTTTGTGTCCAGAGTCGGTGAGCATCCATCTGTGGTGACGAGAGCGACAACGCTCGCATATCAGTCACAGCAAGGCGAGTAGCAACACAAGCATTGCATGGATAATGTACAAACACACATTGTGTATTGTATTATCATTATGTTATGGCAATAATGCAATGAATAACAAATCTCATACGTAACAGATGCACGATGATTATAACATGTGAAGTATGGGAATTGACGGCAGGAACTTCTTGACGGGAACACACTTTTTATTAAATCTTTACGTGTCAAAATACAACGTGTGGTCTCCTTTCTTCCGACTTCACACTCCACTACTCTCGTGTAAACTCTAGGCCTCTGGCTACACACGATACCCTTCACTCGTGTAGACCCTATGCCTCTGGCTACACAATACACTCGACTCGTGTAGACCCTATGTCCCTGGCTACACACACTGCATTCGGCTCGTGTAGACCTTATGCCTATGGCTACACACACTACACTCGCCTCTGGGTTACACAGAGTCCCGGTCCCGTTAGGACAGCGGGACTAGGTACCGCAGGGCCCTAGGTCTTCATCCCCGTCTTCATTCTTCGCTGGTTACACACTGCCCTCACGCCTGTGTGCATCCCCTTTTATAGCCCCTGCTCACGAGAGACGGAGCTGATGCGTACTTCAACGTGAGCATCGCTCCTTAATGAACCAATCACGACGCACTCTCTCTACGATCCGTTTTCCCCAGCGCGTGTTAACACTCCTCCACCAATCACACCGCGCTGCCACCCGATCACTCCCTCTCAGCACGTCACCGGCCCACAGCCAATCATTACCCCGTAACCCACGACCCCGCGCTGACCCCTGATCCTCCACCGTCAGCGCGCGTCACCACCTACACAGCCAATCATTACGCGCTGGCATACGATCTCTAATCCCAGCGCGTATCACCTCTACATCACCCCCTCCCACATAGCTTGCAGCCGGCCCGGCTGTTAACCAACAACACCACCTAACGTCAACGCAGTAATAAAGAAACTCCACCTCCCAGTGTGCCCCGTAACGCAACAACAACAACACAACACAACACTTAAATATGAAGCAATATACAGCCCGACGAACAACACAATAAAAGCGAACACCGGAAAACGAACGCGCCAAGTGTCTCTGTGACTAAACGCAGTGCCGAGGCGCTCCGGCTGCCTCGACTCCTCACGTGGCAGGTCACACAAAGTAGCGCGACCTAGCGCGAGTCCGTCTGGCCGGTCCGTCGTATGGGACGGGACGTTGGCGACCGTCCGGTGGCTCCGGCCGCTCAAGATCCGGCCGCCGGTGGTCCGCAGCTGTCAGTTCCGAGAGACCTGGGAGCGGATCAGGCGGAGACATGTGAGGAGCAGGCAAAGACAATTCCCCCTCAGGGTCGCTGGTCACGTCACATGCTCGGCCCTCATGACACAAGGGGAGGCCATACGGAGGCGAGAACGGTTTTAGTCGGGAGGGGTGGACGTACCAACGGCGTTTTCCCCATTTATCTGAACG